AAATTTTTTGAATTTAAAAAAATAATGAATCTTTTATTGAATGAATTTTTAATACATTTAATCTAATCTATTTCTAATGTATTCTAATATATTTGTGGATTATAATTATTTCATAAGAAATTTAAATCAATTTCAAGAAATTTGAAAATTAATTATTTATTCTATGTTGATTATTGAGCAATTAATTTTCTGCTTAATTCCAAAATTATTTGTATAAATAGATATAATTATATAAAAAGATACATATTTCTTCGTAGAGTATTTTAAAAATCAGAAAGCTAGTTTCACTCTTTCTTTTTAATATCAATTTATGTAATAGATTGATATTCCATAGAAATTTTAATATTTTTTTTTGTCAATAATAATAGCATAATTATCGTTTGCTAAATATTTGTTCATTCTTTTAAAATGGAATAAGTAGTCTTTCTTCTTTTTATAAATATATTTTGATATATTGGGTTATTGGGATATGTTGCAATGTTTATTATATAGTTTATACGAAAAGAAATTGGAATTTTTATATTTTTTTTAGAATATTTTTCAAGAAAGACTAAGCCTAATTTTAAAGAAAAGCTGTTCGATATTTGCAAATATTTTGTTTTTTCTAATTTTATGCTAAGTACTAATATTCTGAAGAAATTTTTTAATTCATAATTGTTATCATTAAAATTTTCGATAAACAAATTTATTGATTCATATTCTATAATTGAATAGCTTATAAAGGAAGAATAGAGAAACTTCATGAAATTTCTTTGATCTTTCCAATTTTTTTTTCAATATGTATTATTTTTATTAATAAAATATGTATAGTTCATCGAAAAGTTTCTTTTCTTGACTATTATTCAAGATATGACTCATAGTTTTTTATATTGTATTTTATTTTTTATTTACAAATATTTTTTGAACATGATTTATTAACGTTATTAATAATTATTTTGCAGCTTTTGTTCTATGATAAGATTGAATGTTTCTTAGATATTTATTGTTGAATGAAGATATTGAATGATTTCTGACTTCATATATCGATAAGATTTTAATTATATTAATATTTTTTCCACTTGATGTTGCTAAGGGTAATATTAGTTTATTTATATTACTTATATTTACTTATTTATATTATTTATATTACTTATATATTACTTATATTTGCCCATAATAAATTGAATAAGTGTTAGTTCCTTTTCTTTATATTCCATTTTGAACATCAATGAATGTTTGATATTTTTAGTGTTGCCCTTGATATCGTGATTGGGTCATTGCCATGTGAAATAGCTATTTCCCATTCAAGTAGATGAGCTATTTTAATAGAAGACTTAGTTAGGTTAATATAATTGTTTGTCAAATCTTTTCAATGAAGAATTTTTATCTAGAATTTGGAATAATCTAGAATTGGAATAATTATATGATTCTATATTTTGAGTTATTAATAATAGGTCTGACATATTATTATTTGCTAAATAAATATTAGAAATCTTTTGCTAATCTTTTGTCCTTCCTTTTTATTTAAATAGTAATTTATATTATTTTATAATAAATTCATTCAACAAAAAATTTAGCAATAGGAGTTTATTTGTCCTCGAGTTTTATATCAATTTGAAAGTAAAAGATTCCTGAAGAATAATATTTGCGATTGTGGTTTTATATTTAATTCTTTCTATTCCTTTTCAATAACTTCTTGTTACTAACATATGATGTTACAAAACATATAAAACTATATTTCTCTTATAATCGTCACTTAAACTTACAGAATTATTCTCTATAATTGGACTCTATATTATTAAGAATGTATTCTGCTACTTGTTTATTATACAATACACATATATGAGTTTTAAATTCTTGATATAAATCTAATGTTCATTGAGTCGGTTATATTTCCTCTGAAACTAATATAATTTTTAGTGGAATACCGTCAACGGAATCAAACAATAGAGTTTTGTTCTTTGTAGTTGATGTACTACTTTATTTTAGTGTCATAATTGTTGTTAGGAATTATCGGTATAGTAATAACTAGTCAGTAACTGATTAATATTCATATGATACTGCATATTGCAATATTCTTATACTTAATTATATTGTTTTACTTTTATTTGTTTAATATTTTTTATTTAATTAATGTGATGATACTTTAATATAAGTGGAATTTTTCTTATTCAAATTGGATTTCTCTTTTTTTTGTTTTTTTTTTTAATTTTTCTTATGTCAGATCCGAAAATATTTCAGAAAATATATTGTTAATTCTAAATTTTAATATCACCTTTTCAGATGAATATTTAATTGATAAAAAAAATATGTATCAAATATTTTTTTGAAAATTACTTCATAAATTTAATCAAAATTACATATGCGAGTTTGATATGTTAATAATTTTGATATTTCCGAAATTTTTTTTCACACGTCATCGAATATGATTTCTAAAAAGAAATTAAGAATCGCTGTTTTATGCAATTTTCTATACATGTGTATATGTAAATGTATATATTTCTGTAAAACAAAATATTTCAAATAAATTTTTATTTTTTGTTATATTTAAATTGCAAAATATATATTAAATTTATTGAAATATGATTAACGAAATATACGAATATAATACAAATACGAATATGTATTTTTATTATTCTATTTTTTCATTCATATTTACATAAATAATACGAATTAAATATTTTTTGTTTATTTAATATTTTTCTAAAAATTATAGAGTTTATGTAATAGATATTCATTTTTTATAAATACATATATTAAATATAATTAGAATATTTTAATTACAGTTAGTTAGATTTTTCTATATATAATATAATATATAATTATTATATTTTTTTTATCAAATGTAAATCTTGAAAAAAGAATCGATATCAAATTTATATTTAAAATATCATAACAATTAAAGATATAATCGAAGAAATTAATTGAATAAAAAATTAAATTAGAAATTTTAATGTTTATATATTCTTTTATAATTGTTAAGTTAGATGGTTTCCACGTCAATATATAATTTTTAAAAATAATGATAACAGATTGAATAATGAGGGCTACAATTATTGATTGTTCTTATGTGTGTGTGTATATATATATCCAATTTGAATAGAATTTATATATTTATTTATTATTATTCTATATATAGAAGATTTAATGAAAACAAAATATATTACTATTAACACTATAAAATATTAGTAAAAAACAATACAAAATAATAATAATAATAATATTAATAATAATAATAATAATAATAATAATAATAATAATAAAACAAAATTAAAATATATATATATATATATATATTAAGAAAATAAATATAATTTTGAATTTTTTTTCAATTTTGAATATTCATTTTAGTTTTATTTTTAATTATTATGCATAAAAATCAGTCAAGAAGTTTAAAAAAATATTATATTAAAATATATATATATAATTAAAAATATATAAATATAAATATTATCACGACAAATTAGTTAGAAAAATTAGAAAAATCACGGATTTAAATAAGATTATTTTTAATCATTTTTACGATGTATAACGAAAAAAATGAAAAAAATTGATAGTTTAAAATCAATCTAGTTTAAAAAAAATCTAAGGAAATTAGTTTATGCTAGCGTATCAAAAATTAAATATATTTTATCTAATCAATTTAAATCCAAAGCAAATGAATTAATACTCATGAAATAGTCGGTTATAATATTTATTAATATTTTTCTTTTTTCTTTTGTATTTTCAAAGTAATTAAAATATGATTATAGTTTAAAATTATTTTTTTATTATTTATATATCAACAATAAATTAATCAAAAAAGTTCCATTTAAATTCATGAAGAAATAACGTATTTCTTATATTATTATTTTATTGCAAGATCGTTAAATTTAAAAATTTTTTTAAGTTAATTTTTTTTTTTTTTAAGAAAAAGCTAAAATTAAATTAGAAAATTGAGAAATCAAATTAGAAAATTTATTGAAATGCAGAATTATTAATTTATAATAATGTTAATAATAATAAAAAAATTAAAAAAATTAATTTTAACGAAAAACTTATAAAATTTTAATTATTAACAAAATTTCAACAAATAAATATGTAAATATTCTTGAAAGTCTAAAATAATTTAAAAAAAATTGCAATATCTATATTTATTTTTAAAATATTAACAAGTAGAAAGTAATAAAAAATATAAATATATAATAAGTTATAAATCTTTGTAATTATATTTCATTAAATGTAGAAAATAAAATAAAAAATTATGAATATATATTGTATAAGTATACTTATATAAATGAGAAGTATTATTTTGTTAATATAAAATATTATAAATTGTAATTGTAATTTTAAGAAATTATAATTTTTAATCGTAAATTATTACAATTTAAATTTTAAGAAAGATAAAATTTATTTAAAATATTTTGTAAAAAAATGGAAATACGAAATAATAGCATTATTTATTATTATTATGAATTATCAAAGATTGTTAAATGTAATAAATAAAAAAGACAAAATATTTTTTATACTCATTTACTTTATTTAATTACTAAAAAAGCATTTATATTAAAAATTATCAAAGCACAAATATTTTATCTAAAAAATTTTCAAGAAAATATTTTAATGTATTTAAAATTTTTAAAAAATATTTACAAAATATATTTTACTCATTTTTACATTGTATATTTTACATTGTATATATTTTATCTTAGTTTATCTTTATTTATTTTATCTTATTTATTCATACTTTATCCTTATTTTTTATTAAGAAATTTATTTTAAAACATTTATTTTAAAAATTATCAAAAACAATTATTTTATCTGTAAATTTTTTAAAACAATCTTTTAATGTGTCAATCTTTTACAATCTTCAATAAATCGATAAAAATAATAATAATAAATCAATAGAGGAATTTTTTTTTGTTTTTCATTAAGTTTTATTAACCACTTTTATTCGATTATAAATAAGACAAAAAATTTTATAAAAGTCACATTTACATCCTAATTTATAAATCTAATAATTTTTTTATATTCCGTTTTAGAAATAAAAAAGAAATGGCGCCTAATGTAACAAGTACTCCATCAGGTATATTTGATGGAGATAATCGTTCAGATCAAGCAATAATCGAGACACCTAAAAAAAAATACAAGAAACATATTATTTGGAGAAATGTGATTATCTTCTCTTATCTTCATCTAGCTGCTGTATATGGATTATATCTGGTTTTTACATCTGCACAATTTAAGACCACTTTGTTTGGTAAGTGAAATAATATGTTGTATAAGTTAATTAACTTTCATACTATTTTAAAATATTTTATGTTTCAAATTTAATTTTAACAAATAAAATAATTTTTAATTATGTTATTAATGTATATTTAATTATTTTTAATAATACATATATATGTATGATATTATTTTCATATATAAAAAATATGTAATAAATAAGATATAAATTAGAATCTTTTATTTAAATATATAATGATATATAATAAAAAAGATTAAAATTTAAATATTTTATTCCGTTTTATAGCATTATTCCTGTACATATGTACTGGACTGGGAATTACAGCTGGTGCTCACAGATTATGGGCACACAAATCTTATAAGGCAAAATGGCCACTTGAGTTAGTACTAGTAATTTGGAATACTATGGCATTTCAAGTAAGTCATCAATTTACGATTAAACACATTACATTAAATTCATTACATTTCAGAATAGGAAGTATTGATATAAATTAATAAAATAATTTTCATAATTAAAAATTAAACTATCGTAATTTTTTTTTTTTTGCAATATCGTAGAAGATACAAATTTTTCTATTAAATTTTCAATTATTATTTTCCTATTCAATTTTCTTTTTTTTTTTTTATTAGGATGCAGCAATTCATTGGGCTAGAGATCATAGAGTTCATCATAAATACAGCGAAACAGATGCGGACCCTCATAATGCGACGAGAGGATTTTTTTTCGCGCACATAGGTTGGCTCTTGTGTAAGAAACACCCGGACATTAAAGAAAAGGGCAAAAGAATCGATATAAGTGATCTGGAGAAAAATCGTATATTGGCATTCCAAAGAAAGTAATAAGTGTGACTTACTAATTCTTTTTTGTGATCAAATGAAATAAAATATTTGACTTTTTTCCTATATTGAATAACAAAAACTGATAGAAATATATTTTATATTCAGAGTGTTAATATATTCATTCATGAAGACCAAAATAAACATATAAAAGTAAAATATACAAAAATTAATTAAAACTTATTTATTAAGCATTCTATTACATGAAGCAAGACAAAGACAAAGTAAATTAGCAATGCGATAAAAATAGAAATGCTTATTCTGTCGCTTCATTTAATGGAAATTTAAATTACTTACAAGTTAGAAAATAAATTTGAACTCACCTCCAAAGATATAATGTTAATGTTAATGAATATATTAACATATTCTGAGAAGATAAAAAATTTGATTACCACATTCTTAATATATTTTATAATATATTTACAGATACTATTTAATTCTGATGCCTCTATTTTGTTTCGTTTTACCGACCATTATTCCGGTCTATGGTTGGAATGAAACTTGGTCCAATTCATATTTCGTGGCAACAGTTTTGCGTTATGTTTTCGTGCTGAATATGACTTGGCTTGTCAATTCTGCTGCTCATATTTTTGGAAACAAACCATATGACAAGTTAGTATGATTTTCATTTAAAAAATATATATTAATATCCTATATTTTTTTCTGAAAGTGATATAAATAATTAATTACTCAAATAATAATTCAAAAGTTCATAAAAAGAAGAAAAATAATAAATATAATGAAAGCAAACAATAAATCAAATAATTGAATTATTTTATTCAGGTTTATCAATCCTTCGGAGAATAAAGCGGTGGCCATAGGAGCTCTTGGTGAAGGTTGGCATAATTATCACCATGTATTCCCATGGGATTACAAAACGGCAGAATTAGGAAATTACAGATTTAATGTTACAACAGCGTTTATTGATATGTGTGCAAAGCTTAGACTCGCATATGATTTGAAATCGGTTCCTTCTGATTTAGTGAAAAAACGAGTGGAGAGAACCGGCGATGGAAGTCATAATCTGTGGGGTTGGGGTGATAAGGATCAAACACAAAAAGATAGGGAGGTGACGATGGTTTATCATAAGGCTTATTAAAAAATGAAAAAAAGACCATTAAGAAATGTAATTAACAATGCGAGCTAATTGTTCACTTGTTTTTTATAAAACAATTGAACTATGGCTCACTTTGTATATATTTAGGGGGTGGAGGAATAGGAAATATCTGGGAATCATTGGAAATATTTTGAAATATCGCTTAATATTTTTAATTATAGTCCCAGTTATAGTCTTAGCTGTACTCTATTTTTATCAAAAATATGAATCTGAAATTATTCAACTATTCAATGATGAGTAAAACATTTACATATTGTTTTGTTGTATTCTCATAAAAATTGATATGCACAGTAATAAGATTTCTCGTTTTTAGAAATATACATTAATGTATGTATTGCTATCAAAAAGAAATCTTTATTTTTACATTATTATTAAACAATTTTTAGCGTAATAGTTGTGCTGTAAATATCGATTTTTACAAATTAAAAGATATTAATCGATTTGATAAACTAATATATCGAAAATTAAATAATAAATATATCGATTATGCGATTGATTTGAAGTCATTTGGCGGGTTCTAAATGTCCTCAAATAATCTAACGAGAAAATCCACAGTGAGACATTTCAACGAAATTCGAAATTGCAATGATATTCGCATGTGGAAATCATTTGAAATTAGATACAGTAGAATTGCGATAATTCTCTGAAAATACTTGTCAAGATTATCAAATATTTCGAATTCTAAGACTAAGATTTGAAATTTGGTGAGAAAAAATTTAAAAAATAATAAATTAATACAATTTATTAAGAAATATGAAATAAGTATTTTTTTACGAAATATGTTTTGTAATATATTTATTGAATAATAATAACAAGCTAAAATAGAATTATGCGTCTTGGATTATTGAATATCGAAATTCTACTGTATTCTAAAAACTTATATTAATATTAATACTAGTTCGTTAAGTACAGTCTATATAATCTATAGATTTTTGATTGAATAATTTTCCTTTCAATCTAATCCTACGTAAATTCTATTTTTGAAAAATTCATTTCCTTTTTTTTATTTACTGGTTTAACAATTTTAGAAATCGATGTTAAAGAATATAAATTTGAAAACTCTTTTAATATTTCTTATAAGAAAAAAGATGATTAGATGATAATTAAACAAGACAATAATCTTTTGTTAAATAACTTCTTTCACATATTCAATAGCAAATTAACATAATTCTTATATATAAATAATTCAGTACTAATTTCTGTCTCTCGTTTCAACTTTTATTTTCCCGATTATTGTTATTTTTATATTATTTAAAAATATTTTTCTAAATATTGAAAATGTATCATAATAAAACCCCCTTTCTTTGTTTTTTCTTATTATTTATTTTTTTTCTTAGTATTTTTAGTCACAATATAATAGAAGTTTTATTTAGTAATTATAATTACCTATTTTTGAAACATGGGAATTCAAATATATTTCATTTTTCTTTCTCTCTTCTTCTATTTTTGTTCGTTTGCGACACTTTAACTCTAGAAAACGAAAGCGTGAAATAAACACAAAATTAATTTATTTTTCAAATAATATTTTTTTAATTATTAATTTTATATTAACTGTACTTTTAGCAAAATTCAACATAATATAATTATTTTCATATATTTGTTAGTACGAATCTAAAGATTTTTTCTTTTTGTGTTATAGAAAATAACATTCTTTTTTATTTTTTAAAATTAACAATTTGTAATATGTAGTATGTGAAAAATTATAAAAGATATAATATCTCTTGTCATGATGTTAAATAAAAATTGCAAAGAAAAATTTACCAAAGAGTATTTAAAAATAAAAAAAATATTTCACGCTTTCTGAGATTAATAAATAAGAAAAATAAGAATAAGGATATATTATCTTTCTAATTTATTTTTTTTTTAATAATTTTATTAATAAAAATGGGCGAATGAAAGATATAAAAAAATTTGTAATCGACGATTTTCTTTATTGTAATAAATAAAAAAATCTTGATTTCAAAAAAGAATAAAGAAAATAATATAATTGATTTTTTAAAAACCAATGATTTTTAAACATCTTTAAAAATTATTATATCCTATTTTGACAAAATTTTATTAAAAGATTTTGTTAACAATTTATGTTAATTTCTGATATAAAAATATTTTAAAACTAATTTAAACTAATGAAAAAAAGTAAATAATAAAAAAATAATATATTTGGCCTTATTCTCAATTAATAAATAATGCATATTAATAAATATATATGCAAATAACGCACAGTTTTTTTTTGAAAGCTTAACAAATAAGTATATAATAAGAAACACTTTTTTTTTTTATTTGTTTTTAGGTTACATTTATTTAATTACATTTATTCGAAATCTCGTAATATTTAATATGTCGATAAAATAAATTTTGAATAAAATATTTGAATATAAAACAATGAAATTGAATTTTTGGTGAATTAATTTAGTTTAAGTAATTTTGCGTTTTTAATTCAATATTTTTTTATCAATTTTGTTTTCTTCATATTAAGTATAGATTTCTTTTTCAAATTTTCGAGGCTATCTTCAAGAGTGATTTCTTTTATACTCATTTCATGAAGCATATCTCTGATATCTTCGGTATCGACTGTTAGTAACGAATTAATCAAATTAAGTTCGTGCGCCATTTTGATAAAGAATGTGGTCCAATCATCATCATAAATACCGAATTCACCACATTTCCAATCCCATGGAATGTTATAATGATATTTTGGCCAAAATGATTTTTTCAAGAAGAAAATGCTGATGCTTTTCGATGGAATCCTGAAATCATATTGAATTAATGAATTGTGATTGATTAATGTTTATTTTGGTTATAATAAATATAATATAGAATTATGCAAATATTTCTAATTTTAATTTATCGTTTTAGTTTAATTTTTAATTCAATTTCTTTTTCAATTTTGAATTTTCATTTCAATTAGATATTTATCTATTAATTTTTATATTTCTTTAATGTTATTTCGATAATTAATTTAATATTAGAAAATTATAAATATAAATATAGTTATAAATAAATATAATAAAAATATAAATATAATTATAAATTTTTTTGACAATAAAATTTTCTATTTAATAATTTAACTTTAAAATAGTTCCTCAAACAATCAATATAATTGTGAAGCAACATTAACAATAAAAGAATACAATTTTATTAATATATATTGAGAAAATTCATCAATAAAGTTATCATCACGCCATAAGTAAACAGTACTCAAGCCTATCAAATTAGTTTATAAAATTTGTATTTTGATTATTAATAAAAAAAATAAAATTAATAATTTAAAAAAATTATATATATTTGTATAACGAATTTTTCAATTTAAATGATTATAAAATTCTTCATTATTTCAATGATTGCAATGCTTTATTTAATATGGACGCCACTATTGTTAATAACGACAGTATCATGACTTCGTGGCATTTTAAAAAATAGTTTGTATAATAAGCTAATTGTATCTGAAATGTGCATTAACTTTTCTCCTTCCTTGATATTCCAGATTAGAAGTGCGCTATTTATTAGCCAGGATATATTTATTGTAATAGCGAATCGTAAGAATCCTGTTATTAATATAGTCTCAATTAGTGATTCATTCCAATATTCTAATGGTGCATTCAAAGGCAATATAAGTCCAAATATTAAAAATAATGGCCAGTAAAAGCTGCAAATAAAGAAACGAAAATTATTGATAATTAAATATACATGATAATTAAATATATATATTTGATTACAAATATATTTTATAAGAATTTTCATAAAATATCGTAAAATATGAAGATAATATATATGAATAATATTGTTTTAATGAAATATCGTATTTGCAGTTTTTTTTTTTGTCTAATGAAAATTGCCAGCTTACAGGCAAAACACATTGCAATAATGAGTTTAAGTCAATGGCTCAAAAATTGGATTATCATTATATCGTTTCCAACGTTACATAAGTTATTAACTCAAAATTATCTTTGAATAAATTTTTTCATTGCAACATATTTTAGCTACAGAGAATTTAGAATTTTATAATTTTTCGTATAAAAAATGTTTCGCATAATGAATATTAAATACATGTTTAACAGAAACTTACATCTTTTGTATACAAACAAAAATATCATTCTCGATATCGCGTAGATCAATTTTATGTTTTATCTCTTCAAGACTCATATTAGGCGACAATATATTGCTTATATAGTGGCTATAGAGAAATCCTTTCTTATGATTGTAAGGATCATCATCAGTTCCATAATATTTATGATGGATTCTGTGATATAATACCCAGTTATATATTGGACCCTATAAAAAATATATTATATTGTATAATTTATTAAAAATAAAAAATAATAGAAAAGAAAAAAAAATTAAATAATAGATATGAAAAATCTTTATTTGAAATTTTATTTTATATAGTAGATAGATATTATTATTCATATTGTTATAATTTTAACGAAATTTGATTTATATTCGAAATTTTATTATTAAATTATCTCGTGCATTATATAAATAACTAGATAAAAAGGATAAAAAGACAATTTGTCTCATTTTTCTAATTGTTTCATTAATACAATGACTTTAAGATATTTACCACTCCTGCCAAAGTATGAGCGAGCATGAGAAAAAGTTTAACCAAACCCTCAGTTTCATATGTTCTATGGGCCCACAATCTATGGGCACCTGCTGTTATTCCAAAGCAACTAATAGCTGTTATGAAAATTGCTGAAAAATTAATTAAAAAGAAAAAATGTATCGGAAAGACATTTGATAGAACAATGAGATATTTTCATTTGTTTATTTGCAATGAATGAAATTACTGATCATTTTTACGATTGACATCAGAATATTAATAGCTATTGTTAATAGTCTGTATGCAATTATTATTAATTCTATAGTATATTTTTGTAATATTAGAATTCTTAATTTTTTTAATATTTATTTTTTTAATCTTTTATATTTTTTTATAATGTATATATATCTCACATATGTTATAATAAGATCATTATTTCTTCACTTGTTAAATTATTTTACAATTTAAATACGAATGAGTTAATATGATGATAAGTTATTAATATGATTATTTTTAATTTTACTATTCGTTTCTTGAAAAAAATTATAAATTATTGTAATCATATTATACGATATAATCGCTATTATATTAATGATTATTGTTAAGCATTGTTGAAAAAATGATTTGATATAAATAATATAAAATTAATAATATTAATTAAAAATTTTCTGAATAATAAAAGATATATAAAAATTTAGATATATAAATAAAAATTTTCTTACTATAAAATATTGTCATCCATTTGGCAGAAGTGAACATCAACCAGATAGCGTATACTCCTAAAACGTGTATGTAAATGTACCATAAAATGGCTATCCATTTTATTTTCTGTTTTCTTTCATTCATCGTCCTGTTTATTTTAACAAATTACAAATTATATCATATTTACAATATATTTCTTGTCATCATTGAATGTTTTACTTAATGTTTTCATATACTCACTTTAAATATTACTTTGAAAATTTAATAATAGTTACAAGAGATTAAACAATTAAAGAAGTAATCTTAAAGTAATTTGGTGACTTCTACAAGGATAAATCCATATAAATTGGAAATATAATCTAAATTAAAATATCACAAAAAAATTAAACAAAAGAAACATAGATTAAAAAAAGATTAAAACAAAATAATTTAAAATATTCAGTGTACATAATAGTATCAGAATAGTACCTATTTTATAACACGAAACTTACTTTTGAAAGGTTGGAAGAGAACTAATTGAATAAATCTAAAACGCGAACTTCATTTGATTAACCTATGGACTCTATTTGATTTCTATTATCATCTAATTACATTGTCATTTCCTCTATATTGAGATTTTCTATTTACTATTTTTTACTTAATTATCAAATATTTTACTTTTTTTATTTAACTTTTGTTATTAAATGTATTGATTTGAATAATTATTATATTTTACAAGATATTAAATAAAAAATAATTTACAATTCTAAATAATTATTTATATTATTATTATTATATTATTTATTTATGTTTATTAAAATAAATATATGTACATATATATATAATAGTTGTAGATGTTAAATAATCAAGTTTATTATCAAGTTATGCAATCAAATTTAATGTCTATAAATCTAAATCTAAATTTCATAAAATTCAAATGTTATTAATAAAAGATGATGATTCATTATGAATGAGCATTGACATATTATTTTTGTCAGACAAATTTCAAAATGTATGTATGCAATTTTAAAAAATATATTTATAAACTTATAAATATTTCAATATTATAATCTATTTTTTTTTCACATAATAATCAAATTTTGAAAACTAGAAAAATACACTTTATTAAATTCTTATAATTTTCAAAGATTCAATTATCAAAATTATCAAAATCGTTTATAGTCTAATATCACTTTTTTTTATAATATATTATTATAACAATAAATTAGAGCAACCTGAGATGTTTCTGAATATTATAATTTGTTTGATATATTTTTTTTATATAATTTTTAATTTTGTATGAAAATATTGAATAGAATTTTTAGCTGTGAAGACGATTTCGACTTAATGATTTTAATGATTTGGAATAGCTATTAAAATGGAATAGCTATTAAATACGTTGAATGGTATCTTTCGATAATTCTAATAATGATTTCAAAAAGAATTTAGTTTTTCAAATAATTTAAATTTAATTTAATGTTTTTAAAATAAATAAATAGATAAATAGAAATAAATATAAATTTTTTAAAGTAGTAATTATATAAAAGAATTATATTTCAGAATAGACGGCATTCTTATATTTCAGGATTGGCAATGTATTAATTATATCTTTATATTCAATATATGATGAAAATTTTTTATTAATTTAGAAAATAAGAAATCTATTAATTTCGGAATGTATAAAATATCTCAAAATAATTTGCCGATTAAAATTAAAGTTTTATATTTTGTATTCACTTTTCTTCCTTATTAACTTCTTTAAATTTTAATCAATTGATTAAGATACTAGTATTTTTTAGAAAAACAACTTTCTTCTTATATCCCAAAAACAAAAATAGACATTTAAAAGAATCAAAAAAAAAAAGAATATAAAATTCTTAATTTTAAAATGCTTAACTTTCAACATAGTCGTCATAGATATAATTTTTTTCAATGTGTGAGATATGTTTTCAATGATTTTTCCTAATATTTGTCAATAAATTGTTTCTATGATCGATTCTGAATTTAAAAATACAACATCTCCTTCACTCTATTGTTCAGTGAAATGAATATTTGAACTTGAATAAGTTTTTCAGAGTGAAAAAAAATTACAAATTAAAAATGTAAGTGTATATGGAACTGGAATTTAACTTTAATATCTTAGAATAGTTATGATTGTGCATATTACATGTAAGTATTTATCAATTTCTAAATGTATCACTTATAAATGATTAAAGTAAATAAAAAAATGCATTGCTTTGCATTGTTTTATTTATAAAAATAAAATAAATTTCATTTGTGATATACAATGCTTTTTTGAACGAACCGATTTCTTTTAAGAAACTAATAGATTTGTATTAGGAACTATTTGTCATTTATTACAAACAATATTCATGAAAAGTTTGAGTGATAATTATATAATGCAAACTACGCGTTGATATGTCAAACTTTGTTAAATCTTTCAACGATCATTGGCTACTCAAAGATGAAAATTATGACAGAGAAGATTACTGTATTAGTATTATCTCGATTAATATACAAAATATCTGTATACAGATGAGGTTTTCAATATGTAATACCGAAAGTTTTTCATTAATATCTCAAAAACTAACAAATATTCAAAATTAAAATTTTAAATATAAGATCTTAGATCTCTCATCCGAATTTTATGTGACCTATAGTCTAGCTATAAAATTTGATATTTATAGAGTGTTCCATCTACAATCATTTTTAAGAAATTAAACACATTTGACTTATCAAAAATAATATTTTTTACGAAAAAAAAATCAATTTATATGTTTTTATAATGTACATCCTTCGAATAAAAATAATCCTGTAATGGATATTAGATTAAAATTTAAAAATAGATTTTATGATGTATTTATAATTTTTCATGGAAATGATTGAAAATTTTATATAGAATATTCTATATACATATTGGGATTGATGATTTGATGATAATTTCTATAACAAAAATGATTATATAATTATGTCTATATAGATAATATTCATTAATATTTAGAAAATGCTTGAAGTTAAAATTTTATATTTGTTAAATTTATTAAATCATATTAAATAAAATATATTAAATCAATGAAATTATAAATATATCTTTCAGAAAAAATCTATATTTTCTTTTTATAAATATAATTTATGTAGTAAAATGAATAAAATAAAATGAAAAATTCGTAAAAAAAAAAAAAAGAAAGAAAATTAGATTAATAAAATTTTGTTGGAGATAAATGGATGAAAAATTGTTGATTGTAATACATATTTTAATCGATGAAGAGGGAGCTGTGTCGTTAAGTTAATGAAATTTCTAAAAATTTTTATTATAAGTGTAGTATTGCAACATTATCATTAATTTTAAAATTTTCTTATTATTTATAAATTATGACAATTATATATTATATAATATTAATATTTAATAATTATATAATATTTTAATGAAGCCATTTCATATTATCAATTATTTTAAATAATAAAGTTGAACAGAAATTTGTAAAGGAGAGGAATAAGTTCATTTATCAATTATAATATAAAATAACAAAATATAACATCACATTATTTTTCTCTTCAAAAATAAAGATTATTTATATTATACACATACATTTTATGTTCACAAAAATAATTAATCTTAATTATCTTCATCAATTAAATAATAAACTTAGTAAAAAGTATTTACAAGTTTTTTAAATACGAACTACCACAAATTTTTTTTGAGATATATATGAATTTTCATAAATCACATGTAAAAGTATTGAAAATAATATTTTTGAAATTAATTAATCAATGATTTATAAAACGAGAAAATAAATGAAAATGAAAATGATCGACAATCCATCTAAAACACATTTCATAAACTTGTTTTCAGTTCATTTGATATAAGTATACATTTCGCAACACTTTTCACGAAAATCAAAAGAATATTACATTAATTTTTTATTTCATCATTAAAAAAATATATCATCACTGTTTGATTTTGTCCATCAGTTCCAACTCTTGGAGATCTTCAGCTGGAATATCAGCGTCCCCATAACCCCAAATATGGCTTCCATCACCAGATCTGTTCGCCCTTCGACGCACCATTGCTGGGGATACGTATTTTCGATCATAAGCCCAACCGAAGCGCGCGAAAGTATCGATGAAGCCTGTAGTCAAGTTGAACGTGTAGTTGCCCAATTCTCCAGTCTTGTAATCCCAAGGAAAAACATGATGGAAATTATGCCAACCCTCACCTAGGGCTGCGATGGAGAGCATCGTATTTTCCACTGAACATATGTACCTGGAATATAAATAAATTATTATTCTTTTCTTCTTATTATTATTCTTAACTTTGCTATGGATGATTATTACAGTATAAACCGTTGTATTCGTAACATTTATATTGACAGTATATTGTTAATATATAATATCGTTGTATTATTAATATCTGTATATATAGTTTTTAATAGTATAATAAGTTTTTTATTAATATCTCAGAAATTAGTAAATACTTGTAGCTAAAATTTTGGATTTAAAATCATCTTCCCTATTATTCCTCTAAATTTTATGTTAATCAGAATTTTTTAAAATTAACTTTGCTTTCATCCGTATTCACTTTAGATTTAAATTCCAATAATGTTTTAATAAAAATAAGTATTTTTCTTTCATTTATTTACTTCGTAGTTTTATATTCATTTAATGATACATAATTGTAAATAACATTTTTCGAAATCATAATTATTTTTATTTTATTTTTTATTTTCAGCATTTTATATAAAAATATATTAATTAATCAAGATATAATTAATTTTTATATATTTATAATAATGAAGTATTGATAAAATATTATAGTTATAGTGAGTTAATATTACAATATTAAAGAAATATAAAAAGAGAATTATTACATCAGTATGTTCTCATTTTAATTAATCAACACTTTTTTTTAACTTTATATATACAAACAGTATTAATGATTCTGTCATTGTTTAAAGTAATTATTAGCAATGTAAAAACAGATGAATTTAACTATTAAATTCTTTTGTACATGTAATTATTTCTATTATAAAGAAGCAATTAAAATTTGTTAATGTAATATTTTATTGCTTCTTTTATAAGATATACATATTATATAGAGTCAAATAGATTCGAACAGAAAGTGTATAAGTACTTTTTGTTTCAAGTATTTATAAAAATATACTTATGAAAAAAATATCATTAAAGAAGATAAGTTATACTTATCTTACAATAACTAGAATAGAATAGAATTGTGCAATGATCATTTCGTGATAATTTTTGTTACCGGTTATGGGAGTATATAATTATATTAATTATAATTAATCAATGTTATTTTAATCATTGTAGAAATTTGAATTAATAATCATGTATAATTTTTTATGATTCACAATTGTAAATCAGATATTTGTCATTGCTGATATTTATTTTTGTATTATTTATGCTATCATATTACTATTATATTATTATAATTACCATATTATTGTTTGTAATTCAACAAAAAATTAAAAGTTGCTGACTCACTTATCATAAGGTCGTTGACCCCACATGTGAGCCACGCTGTTTACAAGAAAGGCTATGTTGAGAGTGATGCAGAAACGACAGTTAAAATTCACCCAAAAAGACGTCCAAATGGATTCTGACCAAAAGTACCAAGGCACGACAACCGGAAGTCCGATAGTTAAAAGGGGGAATAAAAGAATGTAATATCTGGAAATGAATATATCCTTGTTAAAATTTATTTGACGAATATAGTTTCTCATTGATTGGAGCATCACCTTTTCTGCCACATGACAAGTTGATCGGCTTCCAAGTCACTCATATCCACTGCCTTTCGTTTTGAGACAACATCAGGATGCGGTGTTATAAAAAGCCATCCTACGTGTGCGAAGAAAAAACCTCTTTTAACGTTATGAGGATCTGCATTAGTTTCGCTATACTTATGATGCACTCTGTGATCCAATGCCCACCTGTATACATCTTTCTATAGACGAAATTTATACATATTTATTAATGGTTCGAAGTTTCTAAATTTTAATGAATGAGATTCATATTTTGCATTTCGAAAATTGCATTTTACATATTACTTTTGAAATAAACTTTCTTGAAATTTTGTAAAAAAGATTATGAAAAAGAGCTATATTTCATACTTCGAAAAATTTAAATTCTTTTATTTATTAATTTCTATATTATTGAATTTCTCAGAAATTAATTTTTTAGAAATTATTGAAAAAATGATTGAAATGAAATTGAAATTTTTTAATGTTATTTATTTAAAAATAATTTCATTAGATATTAATTAAATTGTAATAAAGAAAATCACATACTTGTCCGGTTATGGTAAACAGGAATATTAAAAGTAATCGAAGTGGCCATTTTGCTTTGTATGCTCTATGAGACCACAATCGATGTACTCCTGCAGTTATGCCAAATCCTGTAATATAAGTAGTAATAACCACTGCAACAGAATACATGATATATTTATAATTTCGATAAATTTCGTGACAAAAAAATTTTAAATAATGTAAATAAATGCAATCATTAATATATTGTTTGATATATTAAACATTATATGCATATAATATATATATATATTTATAACATAATATTTTAAAAAATTAATAATATAATTTAATAACATATAAATTACATCGAATTTTTATTGCATGCAAAATGAAATTATTATTTTTCTTATGCATAACAATTTGATTATTAAATTTTAATTCTTTATAATCTCAAGGAGAAAATATTTTATAAAGCAACGAGATACATTTTTTTTTTATTAATATGAATTAAAGTAATTTTTGAAAAGTAAAGAACAAATTTAGTTTATTGAGTTGTTTTTGTAATTCATGCAATTATTTATTTAAATTACACGTAAAACATTGATATCCACGAAACATATAAAAATTAATGGTTAATTAAAAATGAGAAGAATAATCTAATTCTAAATTGATTGGAAAATTTGATTAAAAATTGATTAAATCTGAAAATTTTCTTTCAGATTTTCATTTACTTTTTTCCTTTGAGATTATAGAATTTCAATTTCAATTAAAATTACAAATAAAATTAATTAATTAAAAATTAAATAGTAATTATTAAAATGAAATTAAAATTTTAAAAAAATTAAATTGATCATTTTAACTTCTGACTGGATCAAATAGCAATTTAAAAACACATTTCATCCAAGTGTTTTCCTTTCATCTCTATATAATACTTTATTAATAATAATATCAATAGCTGATATAATTAATAATCAGTTATCAATATTCTAATAAATTAATTTCTTAATTTCTGCGAATGCTTTGTTTTTAAAATTTATGAATATTTTTATAGGAATATTGGAAATATTTATTCTAAACAATTTTAATTATACTTACTCCATAACGTGGTAGAGAGCTTGGCTTCAACAAAGATGAGATAGAATCCATATAGACCACCTATGTGTACAAAAAGTAATCCTATCAGGTTTAACCATGAAATACGAGGCACATATTCCTCCTCGCTACAACGATAACTTCCATCAGCCGTTAAAAAATCATCTGTTTCTGCTAATCTACGATTCTTTAAATTAATCTTCTTGCAATCATCTTCTAGTCCTTGATACATGATGGGTGGTACTCGCTCCTTATCCGGAAATATTTTCATTTCTCCTTTCATGAATTTGTATTTGTATTTTAATTATATAGAGATTAGTCTTCAGCCTTCATCAACTTTCTTCCTTGCATCCTAATTTCTTTTGAAGATGATATCGAGTTGGTGGCATTTGGAACATTAAAAAATAAATTCTGTAATAAGAATTAATAATAGAAGTTTTCTTTTCTTTCGTATTAATTATTCTTGATAGAATCTTTATGAGAATTTATTTCGAGAAATAAACTTACTTAATAATTTGAATTATCGATTAAAATAAATTAAAAATTAATTTAGTTCCTGATGCATTGAACTTTATAATGATACAAATTAAAATTTTAAAACTTTATATAATATTTTTGAATTTATTTGGGAATTTGATGTATTAGATGCCAAAAGCAAAATTTTATTTACAAATAATTTCAAAAAAATCTTTCACTTAATGTTCAATTGTTCAATTTTAAAGATTCATTGGACAATAAATGAGAAATGTTTGCAAATAATCTTTAACTTTTTCGAAAAACGTTGAAAATTAAAATAATTTGCGATAAATAAAATGGATTATAATTTTTATTATTATGATTTTAATAAAAATAAAAAAATAGAATATTATAGAAAATGAAAAATAAATTATTTAAGTTTTCCAATTTTAAAAATATCATTGTCAATTAACTCCAAAAATAAACGTGAAATTCAATTTTATAAAAAAATAACAATAGACTAACTTATGTCTCCATAATTTTCAATCTAAATATCTAAATATTCGAGAAATTTATTAAAATTGATCTTGATCAATATTGATGAATGAAATGTTTATTTTTTTCCCTTCACAATAAATTATTTAAGAGACGCTATCTTTTTTCACAATTGATAGTTTGATTATAAATGAGCATCTATGTAAAATCGATATATCACTGTACAATATCACCATACGACAACTAATAACTATGAAAGACTGAGCCAGACAATCTGACTGAATGTTAAATGATATCGCTTATCAATCATGCACGTACAGTGTTTCATGAAAGTATTTATTTGAACACTATCTTAAAAGGATCAAATTTATAAAAATTTTATTTTCGAATGAAAATTTATATATATAAAGCGTAATAAGTTACACATTTTTTTCTTGATGGAAAATCTATTAAAACAAATGAAATTTCTATAATTTGAATATTTTTTCATATTTTGAATATAAATTTTATATTTTGCTTCAGATTTCTTTTTATCGAAAATGATAAAATATTTTGAATATTTTATAATTTAAAATTTTATTTTTTTTGTCGTATTTTGCATTATTACGATATTAATCTAAAAACTTAAAAATATATTGAAATTTTGTTTTTGAGCGTTGATTTCATTTTCTTAAAATGAAATCGTTATATTTCGTTAAATCATATATATTCATATATATCCATTCTCTATAATTATAATATTTTCTATAATTATAATATTTCGTTAATAATAAAAGAAATTTTTTGAATTTTTTAAATTTTATAATTCTTTATTTTTAATGAAAATCTGCGAGTATGAAGAATATAATGATATATTATATATATTTTTATCGATTATTTAAAAAATATTAAATATAATATTAAATAAATATTAAATTTAAGAAATATTATAAATACTTTATCTCAATATTCAAAATTTCAGTACATTTTTTTTTAAATATAATTTTATAATAACGCAAGATACAACAATATTCAAAGATACAAAATTTTAATGTTATATCAATTTTGGTAAAAAGAATTCCCATTCAAAAAATTTTAAAAATTGATTTCAACCTCTCGAAGAAATTTTTCGTCGATAAAAAAATTGTTTCTATATAATATGTAACCTATTATGTTTTACATACATATAAATTTTCATTCAAATAAAAATTTTGAAATCAAATATATTTCCCTTCAATGTTTTCGTAACATATTGTAGATATTCTACAATATAAATTGTAGAATATAAATTATGTGGAATCATTACGTATATGATAAAATTATTATTTTTAGATACCATTATTATCATATGTGATATATTTCATGAACAATATATTTTGGTTCACATGTTTAATCCTCACGATCATGATCTTGATATAAATTAATCGTGAAATTGAAAATATTGAATAATTGACAAGGAAAATTTGAGAATAATTTTTTCTATATTATTACGATTTATAAATAATAGGAACAATTGAAGCATAATTCTATTATGATAAAGAAAATTGAAATATTTCATCATTGTATAGATTGATTCAAAATTAAAAGGATAAAAATAAATATTTTCTCTCTAACAAACATTATTTTTGAGAAAGATAAAACTATTATTGAATTATAATAATATATTATTAATAGTATTAATATAATATTATTATTAATATAATATAATAATTATTGAAAATATAGATATATATATATGAATGTTTCTTTTAGTAGAATATTTATGCATCATTGTACCCTATGCATATTTCCTAGAAATTTTTAATTCATAATACGTATATCGCGATTTTTATTATAGATATCTACATATGGCTCATAAAATTATCTTATGTTAGACTATGATAATATTCTCTGAAACAGTTCATATTTCTTTTTTATAAATTTTTTAAAAATATATTTATTTCTTATGTTTTTATAAAATATAATCAATATATTTTTATATTTCTCGCTTTATTTAATGCAACATTCAATTATTATAATTTAAAACATTTTTATTAATTTTTAAATTTTATATCTTTTTCTAAATAGCTATCATATATGTCAAAGAAAGAAAAATGAAAATTCACAATACAATTTTTTTATAATCCAATCTTTAATTTTTCTTAATCAAAATTAGATCAAAATTTTAACTTAATTAAATTTTAACTTAAAAATAAATGATAAACTTAAAAAAATATAGAACGAAAGAAACGATGCGACTGCCATTTATTGTATCTCGAAACTTTAAAAAGTAATAAGATCTTATACATAAGAATATGCTTAATAAATGATGTCAATTGTTTTTATGCTAATGTTATATGGAAAAATAAACTGTAGATTAAGAGGAAAGCAATTCTTTCATAAAAGTTAATTTATTATATTCTGATTATGAAAATTAATTAATTAAATAATCAAAAGATTAATTTATATTCTAATTAAAAAGAAGGCTCTTCCGGTCGATCGATATAAAATTTGGCGGGAAGGATTTGGTGAAGGAGAGAAGTAGTGTGAAACTGAAATATAAAATTTTAACTTTAGCTAATTATTATTTCCTAAGATATTAGTTAAAAGTTTCACTTTTAATTAAGTTTCAAAGTATCATACATTGAATACATATACAAATGCTGCTTAACCAAATATTATTACTTATAGAATATAATTACTAATAGAATTGTGTTTATTGTGTTATATTAATACAAACGATCATTGACTTTTTTTATTTATTTTAAATTTTTATTAAATAACGTGTGATGTTATATGCCTAATTCATGTATCGGTATAATTCGTACTATAGGTTGTTGCATATGTAAAATTTCGATAAGCATTAACAATCCATTTCTCTTCTTCCTTTCGTTTTTTTCCCCTTACCATTTGTCTAAATTTCATTTTACTTCGGAATTTTTCAAATTGATTCAAATTAATTCTTTTTCTAAAATGTATGATAATTCGTTTTAAATAGATTTGAATAATAAATTTTTCTTTTTAATATTCTGTATTTTTATACAAAATTTTAATAATGAATCTTAAAGAAAGATATTTTTTTTTTTTTAATTCTTATACTTTTTTAGATTTTTTTATTTTTTTGATAGAAGATAATAAATCTACTGTAATATACAGAGTGTTAATATATTTTGAAATTTACTTTAAATAAAAATATAAATAGAATAAAACAATTCTCTCTTTGTGTGCAGTAACGATGGAATAAGAACATAATAAACGTCGTGATGATGTCGTGTTAATGTAGTCATGTTATTGTTTTGCATATTGTTTGTTGCATTTATTTTAATTAATTCTTTTTTCAATCATCACGATCATGATCTGTTTGTTATATTCATATTTTTTTTTCTGTCCTCATGTGCTGTCTCTTAATGTAAACTGAAATTGCTTAAAATTTATTAAGTAAATTTCAATTAACATTTTTATATATTAACTTATGTTTATATTTATTTAGACTTTAAAGTCAAGAGTATATAATGAACATATATAATATAGTCTTACAAATATATTATACACTTTATATATTTAATTCAACGTGTTTTTTCTGAAGATGTATTGGATTAGAAAGATCATTATTATATTTTATAAAATGATCTATTATTTTTGATGTAAACAAGAAGCTTTATTATTATATAAAATTATATAAAATTTTAAATATGATTCCATAAAATAAAATATATTTTTTTTTTAGAACAATTTTCCATCTGATTTCATTTTTCAAATCGATTCCCTTTATTATTATTATTATATTTAAACGTTATTTTTTCTTTTTTACTATGCATTTGGATTTGTAATTATGGATATTTGTAATTATATTTATTGTTATGTATACAAAACTTTCATTTTTATTATGTATTTCTTGTATTCTGTATTATGTACATTTTGCATACATCTTTTTTACTTTTTTTAATAAAATAAATATATTTCTAATAGTAATGCAATTTGTAATGCATAATGTAATTTCATATATAAATTCATGAAACGTTTTATTTCTTTCAACTTTAATTTTTTTTTAATACAAGATAATTATGTAATTAAATAAATAATTTTTTCTACTATCGGTGTACATTCGTAGCATGATAAATATTTCATTCGGAATATTCTTCGAAACAAAATAACTTCTATTTTACGTCGGTGACACTCATTATTTTTTTAAATTAGCATACAGTTTATTCATCAATTTGGTCTTAAGAATCAATTAGATATTCATGGAAAATTACATTCTCGATCGAAATGATATTTACAAATCTGATTAACAGACTCGCTTAACTCCATTGGATAATTCTCCTTGTTATGTACATTTTATATGATTAGTAATGATTTACAATTATTTATATTTCTTTTCGGAGTAGAAGATTAAAATGATTTTGATTTTGCGTTATTTTTTATTTTTCTGTTGTAATTTATAAATCATTTTTAGCAGGCTATTTTTATTTGAAATAAAAATAATAAAAAAATTAAACGAA